CTAACACTCACTAATGAACATTTGTACAAAATCTGAAGTTTGAAAACAAAAAGTTATGTGTATGTGTAACTGTTTTTTTATGTAACTATTGGCCCTGAGCAACTTCCAGTAGTTTATGCTTGTTTCCCAGCAACCTGCTCCTGCATTTCAGTCTTGATCACAGATTGTAAAGATGGATGACATGACAGCACCCCAGTAAAGCCAAAACTTCAAAACATCTTCATTGCCTCCTGGTGGCTAGCTGCAGTATAGGCCATAAACTTAGTGGATGGAACTTGGGCCAAATTAAAACCTCAAAGTACACAACACATACATTTTTCCCAAAGATGGCTTCTGTCATTTTGCACAGCTCTTACCATGCTGATGTACGTTTAGGTGTTCATTTTTCTGATGTTTGGTTTTAATTAGATCTTTGATGCTGTAAAATGGGGGTTTGATGTCATGACTGACAGCTGTCAGAACTTAATACCATACAGATCACCACTGCGCAGACACTGGCTCCAAATGACATCCCCAGTGCAAGATGTTAATGGCCATATCCGCCATATTTTGGCTTTATTTTTGTACAGCGTGGAAACGTGGAGATGCATTGTCCAACCTAGTACAGAGTCATTGGTCTTTATGCTAAGACATGATAAGCTAACCTTCTCCTGTCTACATTTTCTTATTTAGCAAACAGACATGAGAGTACATCATGTTGTTAAGAAAGCAAATAAGTGTATTTCCAAAAATGTTAAATTGATCCTTTCAGTGCATGAAAACCTTGTAATACCAATATCTAATCTTGTTTATGTGTACTTTTGGTTGTGCTATTAGCACATTAGATAGATTAGATTTTTTCAGGTTTTAGTCTTAAGCTTTTTGTTGTTGTTTTTACACTCATCTGATTAGTTGTTTCTTTTTTGGCTGCCTAGTTGTGTTCTCAGGCTGTCAGACCAAAGACATTAATGATATATGCAGTTTTCCTGGACTGTTACTTTTAGTTTCTGAACTTTAGGGACAAAAGCACTAGGCCACAAGAAAAGGGTCTATTACCTTCATGGATTTACCTTTGATGCTGACCATTATGAGAGGTTAGCGGCGCGGTGCAAACAGAGCCGGAAAGTTAGAGGCTCCTGAATTATCAGCTCTGCGGGGCCACAGTGTCAGAGGGGAGCAGATGTTATCATACAGATTCGGTCAGGGAGGCAGGATGGTTAATGGAGTGGTAGTGATTAGATTAGCAGAGGCTGCTGGGCAATGTAGTGTTTCTAATTGAGTTGGTAGGATGTTTGTGTGTTGTGTGTGTGTGTTCATGTCTTGAGGTAGTCTGTACAGCGGTCATAAGCCTGTCAGGTTCTATCACTTTTATGGGTGCTTCACACACGCAGTCATTGCCTCATAAATTACATCACACACATACAACATGTATCTTCTGGACAAACAACCAGGTGTTAATTCTTGTAGCTTAATGTTGCAGTAATGCTGTTGCCTCATGACACCAATTTAAGTTAATGGCAGCGGATAAACAGTGATGTCAAGAGATAAATAGTCATTACATGCCAATAAAACAGACAATCAAAGTGACAGAGGCACACTCACACACAAGTGGATGCAGATGTGTTGAATACTTAGAGCGTGCATGTTGCACAAGCTGCAAGAGCTGCCGCTGCTAAATATCGAGAGTTCTCTTATTAGGATGTTTTACAACAAGCTATTTCAAGTGACACAACAGCTGCATAGTCTGATATGTACTATCTGTCCTGATAATTGCAGCAACAATTCCTCTGCAGTCTAACCCTATCTTAAGATATCTCTAATATTTCTCAGGGACAAGGAGTGAAAGATTAACACAGAACCAGACAGTGTGGAAAAAACAGTAGCCAACAGGGGTTACCAACAGGGTAACCAGAGAGAGAGAGCAGCAGTGATTTCCATACAGATAAATAGAATTTAATCACATCTGTATTCTAAAGGATACCCAGAATGAGGACAGAGAGAGGAGCACAGGGAGGAGGAGGAGAAGGAGAAGGAGGAGAAGGGTGGGAGTGAGGATAGAAGAGCTGGAAGAGGATTCGTGTTAGGTAGAAAGGGATAGTTGAGGTATAAATGAAGCAAGACGGGAGGAAGATAAGCCAATTTCATGTCAAATTGATGAGTAAATAGTTACTTCCCTAACTCTCATGTCATGTGGAGTTCCACAAGGCTCAGTTTTTGGTCCCATTTTATTCCATTTTTCATCTGATACCCCTTGGTCATTATATAAGTCACTTAAACGCTACCATGCCATTGTTACGCAGATGACACCCAGTTGTATGCCTAATTTAGTGTTAAGAATTTATTTATTTTTAAATGGCCTCTGCATAGTGATGCATGTAATATACATATACAGGCTATTGTAGAACAATTTAGTAACACCGTCATTTCTGCTCGCCCAGACTACTGCAATTCATTGTTACTTGTCTTACTGATGCAGTGGTTGCCTGTCCACAAATGGTGCAGAATGCAACAGCAAGACTTCTAACAAACAGTAGACGTAGAGAACATAGGCTATTTCTCCAGTCCAAGCAGAGATGGCAACTCATTCATTTTAGAATTCAATTTATGATTTTGTGGAGTTCTCTTAAACCCTGCATAGTATGGCTTTCACTTTGAACTTCAGACCTTCTAACCCCTTGTTCTTCACTAAGACCTCTCAAGTCTGACAACCAAATGTAGATAAAAGTTCTATGGTCCACGTTTATAACAGAGGTGGCTCGTGGTTTCACTGTTTTAGCTCACTTCTAGCCGTTAAAAGTCAGCTGCAGGAAAGCATTGGACATAATAAATTCATATCAAATAATAAGATTATCTAAGGATAGCTTTTTTTTTTTACACTGCCTGTGTGTATGTGCAAGAGTATGCGTGTGCATGTGATATTTGAGTGTGTGTGTATATGAGAGTGTGTGAATGTGTGTTGTGAAGTCTCAGTGAGACACTGCTGGAGTTATCTAGGTCATAGTGGATGCATTTTTAATTGTACTGTAGTGAGCTACAGTAAGGACTGCACATAAAAAGCAGAAGATAGCAGCTAATCTCATCTGATCAAAACAAATGTAGCAGCACTTCTTTGGTTCTTCTTGTTATTAATGGGATTTATACAAATAACTGCAAATGATCCTCTGGGCTCTAATTGTACAGCACCACTTCAACCACGTCCGCACGCATGCAGATACGCTTACCTTCCACACACTAAAGCTTCTGTTACATACAGGCCCACTGGGAAGGGAGCTATTGTTCTGTACAGAAAGTTAAGATCAAACACAGAAATGTTGCAACAACAGATCTGTTCAATTTCCGTCACACGCACAAACACACAAAGGTCACTGGAGATGTTAAAGATTTATCTTTTGTGTCTTAGACTGTTAGGTTCCCAAGCATCCATCAGAACATTTCTATAGCCTGTGTGAGATTATGAAGATGTTGCTTTTACCTGTAGGAAACAGGGACTGTGGAAGGACACTGCCTCATGCCCTCTCATTGCATTTCAGCATCAAAGAAATTGCTAGCTGTAGGAGATGTATAACACTTAATGAACAGATGAATAAAGGATTTGCAGTTGTATCACAAAGACCTTGTTACAGCAGATGCTATCATATTATCACAATCTTACTTAGCCACGTGTCTCCACTCATCCCCAGTGAACAAAAATGAAGCCAATATATCCCACATATGGCCACTGCCATCTTGCACTGGTGACTTCATTTGGAGCCGGAGTCTATGCAGTAACAATCTCAGCAGTGTGGAGTTCCTGCCCATAGACCAGTCTGACCAATCACAAGCAGCGCCATTGATAGTGCGCACACTGATTAACTAATTAAAACCAAACATTTCAGAAAAATTAACACTTGAACATACACCAGCATGGTAAGAACTATCTAAAGTTGACAGAATCTGTAGCAAAAATGTATTTGACATGTACTTTAAATCTTTATTTTGGCCCTTTTCCCATTTGGGGGGGCGGGGTTTATGACCTGTCCTGCAGCCCACCACCAGGGAGCAATCAAGATTTCAGCCTCGAAATGTCAGTATAATTGTGGTGCCAAAAGTCAAGGGATCAACAAAGTCATTAGCATTCATCTTTTGGGGCCCATTAATGTTGGTACTATAGCAATCCATTCAATAATTGTTGAGATATTTTAGTCTGGACCACCAGACTAACATTGCCATCCCTACGACAAAATCAGACAACTGTTTAAAGTCAGTGTAGCCCAAGACTTTGTATTGAATAAACAATGCCGCTTTAATAAATTTACAATATGCTGCCTGGATGACATTTTTGATACCTTTGCATGTGCAAACTCAGATACTGCCATTTTATTGCCTGCCCTACAGTATCCACTCCTAGTGGTAATATTTATGTAATTATGTGTTGGCAACTCAAAACACTTGGTTTTGGTTTGGGAAAGATCCAGGTCTATGTTAATTATTGGAGAAGTCAATTGTGACTTAATCTCTACAAACAGATATATGCATATGCATACAGAGTCTGTAGGAAACAGTATAAAATTCTGGTATCGGAGGCATCTCGTTTCCATGTGTAGTCTGTTTGTAGTCTGAGTAATACTCTGAGCAATCTCGGAACCCATTGGCTATGTCTGACCATGATTTGTATCAGCTTTCCTTACTTATTTATCTGCATTCATTTGTAAATATCTGTTTAGAGACATTAGCCAAAATGACTGGTGCATGAAAGAGGAAATCTTGGCCAAGACCTCCGCTTGCTACACCAGATCTCCTGAAATATTGGTCATTGCCACCAGAGGCTTATCGTCATCAGACGATAGCCGATGGGCTTCCAAGATTGATGTTGACTTGAAGCTCGACACTTAAAAAATGAGAAATACCAAGTAAAGCTTCACAGTTTCATGCAGAACCTTATATATGTTTATATCTGTCGGCTTGTAACAAATGCAGTGGCTTACACTAATATAAAAATGTCAGCACAAAATTGACCTCTCTGTCTCTGTCTTCCTCTGCAGTCCTTGCTGCTGATTCGTCAAGAGATGGTGGTTTCCCAGAAGAAGCTCGGCGAGTTTTGCGAGGCTCTGAAGCAGTACCTGAAAAATGTCTCCACTCAGAGAGACTGCTTTCAGTAAGTCTGACTGCTGCTCCACATTTTCACAACTGCACTGCTGCTGCAGCAGCAGAGTGCAGCACCATAACCCTAATCATTTTTAATATTTAATGTGCTCCATTTTCAGTGTCAGGACCTCACTGTTCTCACTTTATTAAGTACTACCTCAAATATTCTCTCTTCTGGTTGTGAATTGTGTCAGTATTCTTTGGTGTTCATGCTCACACACACAAAAAAATTTTTCAGTGAAGCTTTGAGTGGGTATTTTATCATTATCTTTCCAAAATCTGAAGGAAAACTTCTTAAATCCCAGGTGGTTTGGATTAGTATAATACTAATATCATGCCGCATACCCAATGCGTATAATATTGTACCCGTAATATAGTCTTCTATACACATACTGTGCCTATTATAAACCTCCTGTGACTCCCACTCGGAGCCTCAGGGTGCTGTGAAACCTGATATCTAGAGAGATTTTTCTAAATCCCAGACTCAATATGCTGTATGCATAGTCCAGAGTCATATTCTGTATATGCTCTTGGCAAGACTTCAAGGTTCTTGCTTTGCTGCATTTCTTCTATTTGTATTACAGTTTCTCCCACTAGTTACTGCAGTCTGTATCTTTGGATAAAAGGTGTACAAGAGGGGCAGAGTCAGAGGTATAAGGTCTGACATCTCCATGTTGAACAGAATGCATAGTGTATTTGCACAATAAATTTAATACTTGTGGAGTAATTTAAGATGTATAAACCTCATTATGTCTGCCAAAAAATGTTTAACCAACATTAACTGAGTTTTTTTGTCCACTTGGGGCAAGTAGAAACATCTTTTAAGCTAATATGTTAGCAGACAGACTTTTCACACACCCAGCGGACACAAGACAACACTAACATTTATTTCAAGTTGTGTCTCTGGCCACCTAATGAATACTGAGTCCGCTATCCACTCTCCTTTTAGCTGTGTTTTGGTCTCCACCAACTCCTGAAGGAAATATCTGTCTCTTTATTAGGGGTTTATTAGGGCTCTGTCACTTAAACAGCTGTTTGTGTCTGGAAATGACCATGACAGTGGTAAGACTGGACAAAAACAGTCAAGTTTGGGCAGTAAAACCAAAACAGTTAGCTAAAAGATGCTAAAATGCTCAATGGAGTTCAGAGGGACAGAGTTGATTCACTCAGCCCCCCTCTCTCTGTTTTGCATGAGACTGCTGCTGTAGGACTAGAGCTCTGTGCCTGAGACAAAGTGATACACATAGTCAGTGACAGGGCTAACTGTTTACATCAGTTGACTAACGTTACCCAATGGTTATTAACAGGGTTAATGAGTCTTGGTGTCGGTGTGATGTCAAAGGCATGGTGTCAGATGTTAGCAGCTGCTTTGTGGCTTCTGCCTAAGCGGCACAATATAACGCATAGGGATGAAATCACATTGTGCAGTGACAGCTCATGCTAACCGGCCAAAAAGAGCAGGTGGAGAACAGAGACAGTCCTATAGTGCTGCATTGAACAGCCTCAACATGCTCATAATGATAAGATCTGGGACAGCATCACAGCTAATCTTGCAATTTTCACTCGCTCCTGCAATTTTTTATTTTAAAAATACCTATAAACATCACAACATGCATCACAAAAAAACCTAGAAAGACAAGCCAGAAAAGCTGCCACGGAATCAGGCATTTCAGGCCTCAACAATCCCAAAAGCAGCCTGCGACATCCTAGAGGGACTGAGTACATATCTAACTACACTGCCTTTCAAAAGCATTGAATCCATCCTGGACTCTTTCATAGTTTATTGTTTTACCACACTGTATCATCGCTGATGTAACTGGGGTTTTCTAACAGTGTTTAGATGGAAAATACTCTTTAATGTCAAACATAAAACAAATCTCTATAAATAGATCTAAATTAAGCAGAAAACACAAAATAAATTATTCATCAAGTGTTCACTCCCTAACTGTGACACATCTAAGTCATCAGTGATGACTCATCAGTGGTGCAGCCAATTGATTTTAGGACTTGTATAACAAGTTGTGTGGAGAGGATTTGTTTTATCAAGATAGAAAAGTATATTAGCCTAAATACAGCCTGTATCTGCTACAATCAGTTTAAAACTACAAGCCCTGTTTATACCTGGTATTGCATCTGGGTGATCCAAACATAAGTGGACGGCTCTAAATACAAGTGCAGACGACCACCAAGACACATTGTGATCTGATCACTCAAACTACTCGCTGAGGTGGTCTGGGATGCATTTGATCACACATCTTTTTTATTGTAAATGCTAATGTGTCCCGATGCATTCCGACAAGGACTACGCTGTCAATTGAAGTATTGCATGATTGCCCATGACCATTTTGCCGTGTGGAAGGACGCATGTTGAACAGCTGACAGCAATATCTCCAGCTGTACCAGCACAACTGCTAAGTTAACCAGCAAGCATGTTAGCGAGCAGCTATCAAGATTGTGGATATAATAATTGTCCCCGAGACCCTTTGGTCTTTTAGCATTAGTGATGTAGACAGTGACAAAATCTGAACACAAGTGGTCAGTTGGAGATGCATAACAGACAGGTGTGAATGGTCTCAGCTGACAGGATAACTAAGTACATATGAGGTGATGAACACATACAAATACAGTGAATATCATTCCAAGTACAAAAAGGTAATTCGGGAAAATAAGAATAAAAAGAATTAGCTCGGAGCAGGACATCCTCAAGAACTCTGTGTGAGGCATGAGGGAGCCCACCACAAGGCTTGTATGTGCTCCAAAGGGTGAGACAGGGGACAATATTGTAGAACTGCTGGCCAGGTGCCTTACTTGTGGTGACTTGAGGCACTTACATTTTATCTGGGCTGAAGCATCTGGTCCAAAACTGAGCTTTTTTTTGGCAATCATTCCAAACAGTTTGGTGTAATCCAAACACTACATAGAAACATTCCACCCACACCATGAGTCCTGGAGGTGGCAGCACCATGCTGCGGAGATCTGTAACTGCTGCCAGAAGTGCCTCTATAAATATTGACCAAAGTGGGGTGAATACATGCAATGGCTTTCTGATTGGGCAAGGACCATGAGAGCAAGGTCTAATGATGAGTGTTTTCAGAATACACCCACCTCATTCCAATTTAGTTCACCACATTTTGCGACCTCCCAGCAGAATAGTGGCAGCATATCTTGTAATAACATGGTGTCTGTGGGGAGGGAGCAAATAATGTCCTAAAGTCATCTGGATAGAAGATGATGGTAAGTAGAACAGGCTAAAGGTTTTAGAGTCAGAGCAAGCTGTTATTTATCTTTTTGGTTATGAAGTGCTGTAGTGCCTCAGGCTCGCAATATAATGGAAAAGTTGGTCACACACAATCAAAACCCTGTAGTGAGCCATGGCATTAAATTTCAAACTGCACGTCCTGACCTTGGAAACTATTCTATAAAAAATTATTTTGCTGATGTGAAAGTTCAACTGTCTCCTTAATGCTGATCCCAGCACTCTTTCTCAAGCATGTTTACCTCTATTATAAAAGCTGTTCCAGCATTGCCTTTTGCCAAATTGTTTGCTTGTATGTCTGTACTTTGTGTCAGTGATGTAACAGTCCAGTCTCATAGAAATACCTGAAATGGACATGAACTCTTGACAATGCATTATGTGGTGATAGGCAGTAAGGCATGAAATCTGCTGAAATTAAGTGCAGACAACATGAAAACAATGACAACGCAAAGTCAGTGAGGATCTTTTGTTGTGGTCGACACACAGTAAAGTCGTGTGAAACCAAAAGTCAAAGTAGTTAGGTGATTTTACAGACTTTACATAACTACGCAAAGTACTTTATGTAGGTACTTTATGTAACTACGCAAAGTACATAAGTTGTCGTCACTTATGTCCGGTATGTAGTTATTTCAACCAACTCTCTAAACTTAACAAAATGTTTTTCTTTCCCTAACCCTTATACAATTGCAACTGTTTCACAAAGTTAACCACATTAATGACGTGGTTAAAACGGCAACCGCATGTAGTAGATTTTGCATTGATATTCTTTTCGTGTTGCTAGCATGAAATATTAATTAAGCACAGCGTTAGTTCAGGCAGGGCACGATGTCAAGCTCAGCTCACATCCCAGCCACATCAGCTGATCTCAAGCAGCCCAATCAACTAATGGAGCAGCTGACTGATGGAAGGGAGTCAGTTGATATGTCACATGATTCCTCTCTATGCAACCAATTGGCAAATTTCATTTTGGGTGCCTTATTGAAACTGCTTTGGCCTGCTTACTGTTGCTGCTTCTTCTGCAAGCCACTTTGCAACCTGCCTCCACCCCAGCTCCTCCTTTTCATGTTATGTCTGACTGACAATGTCATTTCTGTTTGTCATTTCTGATGCGTGGAGAGCATCGGGGGTCTTTGCTACTGCTCTTCACGCATGGAAGGGCAGGGATGTTTGCTTTCTCTGCCTCAGACTTTCCTCATTTGCACATGGAAGGGCAGGGAGGTTTGCTTTCTCTGCCTCAGACTTTCCTCATTTGCACATGGAAGGGCAGGGAGGTTTGCTTTCTCTGACTTAAGGCTTTCCACGTAGGCGCCTAGGAATGCAGAGAGGCCCCAGAACAGAGCCATACCACCAAATATAATATGTACTCCTGACTGAAACACATTTTGTGCCCACCAGAGGTTGTGCTAGACTTTTTCGTCGCTGGTCATTTTGACCGACAGGGTCGTAAAAATCCAGTCATAATCTATTTTAACCGGTCATTTAAATTTTCGTTTTTAAATGATAATAAAGATATTCAAAGACATTTAGTTTTCATTCGTTCGTTTTTAATAAATCCAACAAGCAAGTTATAAAGTGTGCATTAATAAGGACATGAACGAAAAGATGAACAGACATCCACGCACCACAGCGCTTCAGTTCGGCGTCTGGTCTACACGCGAGCCGCGAGCGCTTCTGTCAAGCTGGATAGAGCGGATCCTACCAAACAGGAAGTCGGACACAGAAAAGACGAGAGAATCCGGCCAATTTTCAAAATA